GGGTCACCATAAATCAGGAACAACTTGAAGGCACACAATAAGAACAAATATTTCACTATGCTTAGAGAACTTGAGAATGATTTGTGCTAGGACTGTTGGTGAATCCTAATAGTCTAGACTAGACCCTCTGAATCAATCTGTAGTGAGTCAACACATAGATATGTTCAACTGATTCAATGGATCTATGCTTTTTAAAACTAAGATGTAGGTCATTATGACCATCTTCATGAACATATAGAGCTGCCTTGCCCAACTGGCCCTAGCATTTGGCAAAAAGAAGTGGCAGCCTCAGGTGACAGAGAGTAAGAGGCAGAAGCAAAGTGTTAGAGGAGAGTGTCATGGGTAATACAGCTAGCCTTGCACTCCAAAAACTAGCCTGATGCCTTTAAGGATTGGAGGCAATGCTCCCCTATCACCAGTGTTAAAGAACATTTCATCTGCCATCCTAAGTGGCTTCCATGCATGGTACAGGAGAGGGTGCCATCTTGGGTCAGGCAGCAAAACATCTCAAGGGTAGCCTTACTGCTTAACATGCATACCTTCCATCTGGTCACAGTGCCAAGTGAAGGGTCATATCTTCTATTTTGTTGGTGTTTGGAGTGGGGGGGTTGTCAATCTGCTCTGGGTTTCAGGCTGAAGATGTCCGAGGATGAACTTGGGATTTTGTGAATTAAGAACATTTGCTCTGGTGCAAAACACACTGCAGAAATAATCCAGTTTGAGACTGCTTTAACTGCCTTGGCTCAATGCTAAGCAATCCTGGGAATTGTAGTTTATTGTGCACCAGAGCTCTCTGACGGAGAAGGTTCAGTGTCTCCCAAAACTACTGTTCCCAAAATTCCCTAGGATTGAGCCAGGGCAGTTAAAGCGGTCTCAAACTGAATTATTTCTGCAGTGTGTTTTGGACCTCTGTCATGGAACTGTGGGACAATAATAAGTCTGCTTATCACAACCAAATAAACTCCTTTGAACTCAAGCTGTACTTCTAAATGTAATGTTGTTTTTGAAAAATGGGCTGAAGAAGAAATTGACTGGGATGCTCTTGGCTTGCATTTAAGTGAAGCCTTATTGCTAAGCCTGATTTGCTATTAGGGATGAGGACAAAATTCTGTTTGGTTTGCATTTTGTTTCACAGGAATAAATTCACACTTCCAGAATTGATAGGCAAACCAGAAAGCAATCCTTCAGCATTCACAGTTTTCAGGACTGTGTCATGCAGTTCTCCAGACAAATGAAAAGGCAAACACAACTGTATATATTAGAGAAATATATGCACATAATAATGCATGCATAAATAAAAGTCAGCATGGGGTAATGAGATCTAGCATAGTATAGTGTGTATGTGTGTGTGTGCTGGAACAGGACTCCAGGGCTTAAATCTCCTCTTAGCTATGAAAACATATTGAGTGACTTTGGGTGCAACCACTGAGAAGGCTGTCTCCAATGAAACAGCACCAAGAAAAAGCCCTCCCCTGTAGCTCTTAAGACTCTGGTAGATTCATATAGAGCCAGAACAATATTTCAGATAGTCTGGACCTAAGTCTACAATATATAGTCGGCCCTCCATTTTCGCAGAGGATCCGTTCCAGACCCCCCTTCCATGAAAATGGAGATTCGGCAATATTCAAGCCCCATAGGCTTGAATGGGCTGCACCTCCACTGGTACGTACCCCATTAATTTTCACAGAGGTCACCCCTCCGTGAATATTCAAAACCATGGATTCAAGTCCACAAGAATGGAGGGGCGACTGTATAGGTCCCAACTTTCCTGTTGCCGCCTTCTCAGGTTTCATGCAAGCAATTCTTTGCAGAGGCCAAATGGCAAGCTTTTCCCCCAAAACTGGTCTCTTGCAGATGAAGCCTCACACTCTGAGCTTTTCTACTTCGTTCATTGGTTCCCTCTCGGCTTGCTTTTCTCTTTGCTCTGCCTTTTCTCTTCTTCACTTCTCCTTCAACTTCAACTGTAACTTCTGCTCTCCTTCCACTGAATCGGCTCAGTTTCCTTTTCCAGCTTTCTTCCAGCTCTCACTTTCACCCCCACCCCTACTCAGGCTCACTTATATACACAATTCGGCTTTCATTTTCTATTCTCTACAAATCCCTTGTATTTTTCTGGAAATTAAATCTAGCCAATGAACCATAACCTTATAAATATCAACACAAACCCACACATCTTGATATAAATGAACTGTTCTTTCTTTCACAGATGGCAATGGCAAACCTCTTCTGCATAAATCTTGCCAAGAAAGGCCTAGAATAGAGCCCCATGAAGTGGAATTGACTGGAAAGAACATATTGTTGTTGTTTTTGTTGTTGTGTGCCATCAAGTCATTTCTGACCTATTGCATCCCTCCACTCCACCAAATGTGTCTACGAAAGCTCATGCTGCCAATTTTTTTCTTGCAGTTAGTCTCAAAGGTGCTACAAGATCTCTTTATGTATTGATTTTACAGACTAACTACATCTTTGAATATCATGGGTTGGTTTTGGTTTTTGTGTTTGTTTGTTGTTGTTTTTTTTTTTTTTTTTTTTTGCAAGATTCCTTCAAAGGAGGCTTTGCATTGCCTTCCTCTTAGACTGAGAGTGTGTGACTTGCCCAAGTGGGTTTCATGGCCAAGTGGGGAATTGAACCCTGGTCTCCAGAACTGTAGTCCAACACTCAAACCACTATGCCACACTCGCTCTCTAGGCACTTAACAACATAACAACAAATGCTTAACAACATAACAATAAATGCTATACCAGAGTAATTCAAGCCAGAAGTGTTTCTATGGGTTTATTGTGTGGGAGGGTGCAGATCACACTGGGTGACCCCTCAAGGGCAGGTGACTGCCTTCTATTGTGGAGTGTATTGCCACACCTCTCTGCAGGTAGATCAGGGCTCCTGGAGACTGAAGGTCCTGGGAAGGACCAAGTCCACTTCCTGGAGGTGGTGAAGAGGCTGGCTGGGACACTATTGGCATGTCATAGCAAACTGCTGGAGGCCTCCCCCATCACTGAATGGTGCCTGGAGCCCTTCAGGATTTGTGAACAAGGTTAGTGGACCAGAACAACTCAGCACATGGACAATCCCTTTGAGTATGCTGGCCCACCAGATGTCAGCAGCAAGTAGACCAAAGCCTTTCTCTTCCATAGTGTCCTGATCTACTCTTGAGGGACTATTGGCCTGGTGACTCTGAGCCTGACGTTATCATGAGTTACTGCGCTGGGATGACACCAACCCTAGTGATATGAATGATCAAGACCTAAGGACCCAAGATGCCAGCCAGGGAATCATTTGAAAAGTAACCAGTGTATGTAGTCCTTTGCAGGCAAAATCCCCATGGGAAGCATCTCCAGGTTCACCAGAGTGAGGAAATTGCTCTGCCTGTATCCCACCTTTGTGTCATGTGCTAAGATTTAGGCCATGAGAAGGAGTTGACATGAAGGTACATGACAACAAGAATACATAAACATATATTAAGGGGAAAACAGCAAAGTACAGCACTGTAGAAAATAATGAAGAACATGAGAAAATGTGTTAGGCAAGGTTGTCTAAAACAGGTATATGACAGAAAAATGCTGCAGCTCTTTCTCCTCCACCTCTTCCTCCTACTTTTCCTTTTTCCTTTCCTCTTCTTTCTTCTCTTCCTCCTCCTTGTTATTAATATAGTAACATTAGTGTACCTGGTGCTTTACAGGTAAAAGAACAACAAATAACAGCCAGACCTGCCAAAGTTGTACAATCTGTGTGCGTGTGACATTGTGCTGTAAGTCAGTTGGACTTCTTAGTGTTCCCATTGAAATCAAGGGGACTCGAGCAATGGCTATCACATTGATTTCAATGGGAATCATGTGCAGTTTACTCATGGAACAATTCTAAATAACTTTATGTGGATGGGTGGATGGGTGGGTGGGTTCAAGTCATCTGTTGACTTATGGCAACCCCATGAATTCCATCGGCTTTTCTTAGGTGAGGAATGCTCAGAGATGGTCTTGCCAGTTTCTTCTTCTGAAATACAGCCTACAGCACCTGGTATCCATTGGTGTTCTCCCATCCAGGTATTAATCAGAGCTGACCCTGTTTAGCTTCCAAGAGCAGATGGAATCTGGTGCTTTAGAATATTTAGATAGATGGATGGATAATAATAATAATAATAAATAATATTTTTTTATTTATAGCCCGCCCCTCTGCGTGGCAATCGGGGCGGGTTACAGCATTATTAAAACAAACAGAGTTAAAAACATTCCCTCAGGCCACAATCCAACCCTAGAGAGAGAGAGAGAGAGAGATGATAGATAGATAGATAGATAGATAGATAGATAGATAGATAGATAGATAGATAGATGATAGAAGATAGAAAAATATACCATAAATACAAAAATATAATATAAAAATATTATAAAAATATAATTTATATTTTATGTAACTATAAAAACAATATAAAGCAAACTGACAACTACATATAACCTAACGTATGCATGATTATAAAACCACATGGAACTAAAATTTAAACACCTGAATCCTTCCAAACATTTCTGCTGGCTTTTCTTGAAGAAGCCTTAAACTCATGGAGAGATGGGCTGTCATGGCATAAGTGAAAAGGGGAGAGACTGAATACAGGCAGATTTGGCCATCCAATGATGCCATCCATCCCAGGGCTAAGGTCCTTCAAGAAGCCACAAAAATTGTTGTAAAGCCAAGTGACGTGACTATTCAACTTCAAACATCTCTTTAAAATTATTTACGCTTAACTGGCTCCATAATTAGCTCTTTTACCAGCAAGCTAAGCATGTAACATTTGGATGAATATGTAGAAAGAGCCACATCTGGAGCAATACCAAAAAAAAAAAAAAAATCAGCATCCTTTGTTAGTCCCAGGTGCCAAAAAGAAACATGAGGCCTCAATAGTTGGTGCATTTCTTCTCTTGCTACCCACCTCTGCTGCACTCTCTGGGCACATGTTCTTCTCCTCAGTTGGTGCCTTTGAGAACATCACATATTCATGGAGAACTAAAGAATGGCTTTAAAATGCATTTACCTTGTAAAAAATATATATATCAGACCTTCCCCCAAATGAGTGCTAGTGAATTATGAATGAAGACATGCAGAGCTGAAAGCTCTTGCTTATACATTTTTAAAAGTCGTCTCTCATTTCTGATAATGCTGTTTTAAGCCCACTGGACCACTGCCTGCCATCGATGGCACACATGTGCATGGAATAGTAAGCATAGACTGGCTACTTTTCTTCTACATTTGCTCCCAGGTGTTACCCAAAGAAAGTTTGGGGGGGGGGACTAAGAAGTCCCCTATGTCAGCATTACCTTAAATGTTGGAGAAATTAGCTTTGCAAGAGGCTGGGTAACTTTTAGGACCATTGGCACTTGTGCATACCAGTAATAACTAACAGCTTGGGTGAATCTACACTGTAGAAATAATGCAGTTTGACACCACTTTAACTGCCATGGCTCCATCCTACAGAATACTGAGAGTTGTAGTTTGGTGAGGCACCAGTTGTCTTTGCCAGGGAAGGCCAAAGACATGGTAAAACTACAAATCTCAGTATTCCATAGGATGGAGCTACAGCACTTAAAGTGGTGTCAAACTGCATTATTTCTACAGTTTAGATGCACCCCTTGAGGAACCAGGAAATGTGTCTGCAGGTAAGAAAGAGGCAAAAGGCTTGAATAGATGAACCAAAGAAAGATATAGACCAGGGGGGACCAAGGGCAGGCAGGGATTCATTGCTCCACTGACCTATCTTAACAAGAAGTAGGTATGCAGACATTAGCTACGACAGTTAAGCAGAATGGTACCCAGCAAGCACTGTTGCTACTGCCCATCATCTTCACAGTGCTGCATATTGCAACACATGCATACACACACACACCACAAAAATGTGCACGTTTGTATGATAAGAGGCAGGGAAGATTGTGATGTGATGTGTGGCTTTTATTTTGTTTCTTGGAGATGTATAGGCTTGAGTGTCAGACTACAACTCTAGAGACCAGGGTTTGAGTCCCCACTTGGCCATGACACTCACTGGGTGACCTTGGGCAAGTCACACTCTCTCAGCCTCAGGAGAAGACAATGGTAAACCTCCTATGAACAAATCTTGCCAAGAAAACCCCATGATTAGCCTTAGGGTTGCCATAAATTGGAAATGAGTTGAAGGCACACAACACACACACAATGCTCCCCCACATCATTAAGAGTTAACAAGTCTTTCTATCAGAGTGCTTTTACACTATACAAATATAGTAGTTTGATACCACTTCATGCTATGGAATCTTAGGAACTGTAGTTTGTTGTGGCACTCAGAATTGTCTGCTAGGGAGCTCTGCTACATTGATTCTCAGGTTTCAATCCTCCAGATGCTTTGGACCAACTCCTAGAAGTTCCAACTAATATCACCAATGCTTGGGGATTTGGGGTGGTGAAGTCTCAACCATCTGGAGAACAAAGGTGGAGAACCAGTATGCTAGAGTGCTAGAGTTTTTGAGCAAAGTATTCTAAAGACCACACTAAGCTACAAATCACAGGATCCCATGAGATGAAGCCATGACAGTTAGTATGATGCCACATTGCTTTAATTGAGACACTGTAGATACAGTTCAAATGTGAGTATATTATTGACCATTGGCAGAAATTCTCAAACAAAGTCTACTTTCTGCTGAAATCCTCTGAGATAGGATGGGGAGAGAGTAATTTACTTACCATTTACCAAAGGCAAGCATTATTTTTAATATGCAATTTAATATCTGCTGGGTCTGCAGTATTTGTTGGCGATGGGACTGAGGAATTAAGCAAATAGTTCTAAGGATCTTACCAAACAACAAATCCCTGGATTCCATAGGTTGGAGCATCAACAGTTAAGGGAATTAACTGTCATAACTGAATAGAGTAGCTAGACTTCCAGTGGATGAATTATAGGCCAGGGGAGGTTTGGGCTACCTCTATACTGCAGAATTAATACAGTCTGACACTGCTATAACTGCCATTGCTCAGTGCTATAGAATCTGGGAATTTGCAATTTGGTCAGATATGTAGCCTTCTCTGTCAGAGAGCTCTGGTGCCACAACAAACTACAAATCCCTGGATTCTATAGGTGGAGGCATGACAGTTAAAGCAGTGTCAAACTAGATTAATTCTGCAGTGAGGCAGCAGCATCGTTCATCTGAAAAACAAGGGATGGGTATACAGTAAATGTGTTTTCTTTCTGCTTAGGTCAAAGTCTGCATCCTGTAACAACGTACCTTTCACTGATGACTAGAAAAGCAAGTGTAAAGCACACTGGTTTTTTTTACCATTCCCATACTGGAAAGTCCTCCTAAACGTATTTGCTTACCTTATTCTCAGTGTCTGCACTGCTCCGTGTAACCTGCCAGCCCAGTTTAAAGAGTGTTCTAGCTCCTTCTGGTGGTTAACGCTGCAGTTTGATTCTTTTACAGTTGTGTACAAATGGTTTCCCAAAATTCTCCATCCTATATGCAGGCAGAGAAATGGAGGAAAAGAAACCATTCAGGTTCACTCAGATCCTTCAGGAAGAGGAGCTATTCTCCAGCAGTTTACAGAGAAGATGCTCACTCCCAGCAATAGCAATAGCACCCCATTCATTTTGACCAAGGTCCCCCACTACCACTGACTTTACAAGAAGCAGTGGTAGTAATCTTTTCCCACAATGCCCAGGATTCAGATCAGT